TAGAGTGCCAGCCCTGAGTAAAAAAGCTAAAGGACAGCAACCAGGCCCTGAGTTCAAGCCCCAAGACTAGCACAAAACGCACACACACACACACACAGATATTACCTCACACCCATTTAGAGAAAACAGAAAGTAACAAAAATTACTGAAATGGAACATTTTTTTTACTGTTGGTGGGAATTACAAAATGATTCAATAACCACAGGAAAAGGCTAACATATGATATATACATATATGCAACAATATAGATAAATAGATATCCAACAGAATCTCAAAAATATTTGCATAGCATCTGGGCACTGGAAGCTCACATATATAATCCTAGATATTCAGGAGACTGAGTTCTGAGGATCAAGGCTCAAAGCCAATAGGGGTAAAAAAAAAAAAATCTAAGAGATTCTATCTCCAAACAACCAGCAAAAAGCTGGAAGCAGAGATATAGTTCAAGTGATTGAGCAACCTCTGTGAGCAAAAAAAAGCCAGAGCTCAAGGGCTCTCTCTCTCTTTCACACACACATAAACACAGACACACACACACACACAAGATACCTGCATACCTCTGTAGCACTATTCACAATAGCCCATAGGTTGAAGCAACCCAAATTTCATTGCTAAAACAAAATGTGTTTGTTCATTGTATGAACAAAATGTGTTACATGCAGTGGACTCTTATGTAGCCTTTTGAAAGAAGGAAATTCTGTCATCTGCTACAGCATGATGAATACCGAAGGACACAGAGTCATAGATGGTGACATATTCTGCTTCTAGGTGATGAAAGGTATCTAAAGTCCCCATTATAGTTGGATGCAGTTCAAAATGGGAGAATATGGCTACGCCTATTTAGCCAATAAAAAATGATCTTGACTCCTTCCCTCATTTGTGATCAGAACAGGGATTCGCTGGTCATTCTGCCAAAAACCTAGCAGCTTCTACCAAGCCTTCTTCTCACTCAGACAGTGCCTGCCACCCCTCTACTTTTCCTTCCACCCCACTACTTAACCTTCACCTACAACTATCTTGACTGTGAGACTCCAGACCATAATGAAATAGGCCAGAAAGGAATAATCAGCAGAAACGAAGCCACAGGAGATCTTTCACCATGAGCAAACACAGAAGCTTCAACATAGTAGCATTTAGCTAGTCTGGACAAAGCAGCCATTATAAATGATGCTCTCATGAGCAGTGATTTAAATGACAGTTTCAGAAAGGACTGGCTAAGAGCCCCCTGGAAATGGAACATGGGCAGCTCAGAGCCCATGACATGTTACAAGGTCAAACCTGCCTGAACAAAGATCCAAAGCAGCTCCGAATGACTTATTTATTCTGTTCTTCTCTGTTCAAACCTGGGAAAATGTGACATCTTTTAAATTGCCTCCCTGATGAGCAATATCCATAGTGCATGGAAAATGTTAGCAAAAGTTTTGAAAAGAGCAGAATGTTTTACAAGGCAGTGATTACAGAGTAGCCACACTGAGGCTTCCACCAAATTCTGCAGATTATCCTGATGCCTCGTAGTCTTAAGACAAAAGGAATGATGGCAACATGGGGAGAAGAAAATCCTGCCTTTTAGTTGTTTCCATCTTCTCTCTTCATGGGTCTATTTGAAAAGCTAACACTGTGCACGGCATCTAAGTAATGATGATAGCATTCTAATTTCACTCCCCGGCCAAGTGTCTTCCCAGTATTATGTAGAGTGTTGTGTTCTGAACTGGAACCAATATCCAGGCTATTTTTAGCCTAGCAGCAGCAACCCTCATAAGCCCTGAGGGCTCTTATTTCCTGGTGTTGTTGGGCACTAGGCAGAAAAATACCTTGGGGCCTAAATCACTCAGACTCAAAGTTCCCAGCAGACGTCAGGAGGAGCAGTCTGAACTCAGGGCAGGGTCAGAAAGAGGGAGGGGCAAACTGAGTGTTCAAAGTGCAAAATGTAAGGGGGCACTTGTCCTGCACCTGTATGACCCTGGGAGTTAGCTTCCTTAAGTTCTGAACCCCAGGTATCTCAGTTGCTTTAACCTGAGTCAAATCCCTGCTCACTGGCTTCATGCTGTTATTTTTCCATTTGCCCCTCAGCACCTTGTACACTATTTATGATATAGCTGTTCCACAAAGAGGAGAGCTCCATGGATTGACTAACCATCAGTGATGAGATTGCAATGAGGGATCCAATGAAAGATTTGGCCAAATAGAGGCCATAGATGACCCAAAACCAGAGCAGATCCAAGATGGGTTATTGATAGGTGACCTGCGCAGGTCAAGCCCTGGGCTGTGGTCCATTTGATTGGCAGGTGAGAGCAGGCAGTCCTTGTGACCCTGGCCAGAGAGATTCTGCTCCAGCAAGAGAAGGATCTTTACAATGAGATGACTACCCTGCAGGAAGCTCCCTTCTCCTCCCAGATGTGAACATCACTGTTTTGAGGGACTGATCTGAGGCTCCCAGCCCAGCCCACTGAGGATGGGTCTTACCCTACTTGGTATCCAGCATTAAACACAAGCACTTCCTACCTTGCTACTTTGTGCTATTCCTTCATCCCATGACGTCATCAAGCCAATCCTGGCAGCGTAGAGTGAAAAGAGAAACAGGGAGTCTCTGGCTAATGGGTGCCAATAAATGCTTTACTTCAAAGCAAGCTTTTCTAGTGTGGAATTCCGAATACATTTATGCTGGAAGCATGGTTCAAGTAGAAGTGCATTTGTTTGAGAACAGCGGGGATGCCTTTCTTGACCCCCTTTTCCCTTCTGCCACACCAAAAGACAGCCCCAAGTACTTCCACACTCTATCCTTTCCCCTTATTGACACTCACTTGGCTTTATTCTTCTTTCTTATGCTTACACACACACCCTCCATGCCTCCTTTTCTCCTGTCCTTAACTAGTACCTGTCACTGTCCCGCTGGAATAGGCAGACATTCAATTGTGTGATGCCAAGTAGAAAAATATTCCTCGTGAGGAATGCTAAAATGGTGGGATTGTTGATTCACAAGCCTGATTTTTGGTTCCAACAGATGGAAGGAACTCTAAGGCAGCAGGGCAGAACACTCAAGGTTGACCCATTACACTGTGGAAAAATCCAAGGATTGCTGATACTGCTTTTAATGTTGTCTGAAGAAAGCATTCTCTTCCATAGCACTTCCACCAGCATGAATCTCGAAGCATCATTACAGACTAATCATCATTATGACATGATCACATTTAAATTATCCCCTGTGTAGTCTGGGTACATTAAAGTAACTGTTGAGTTCTTTTAGTGAGACAAGTTCATTAAGAACATAATGTGCACATGACCTTTTATAATACAATAGAAAACAAGAAGGAAAGCATTGAAAATAACAGAATCTTCTCTAATACACACACAGAAACCATAAGCTAGTCTTACAGTAATTCAATGTGCTCTGTGATGCAAAACCAAGCAGAATGTCTCCTTTTAACCCAAATCTGCCATGCCATGGCCAACTGGCTGCATTTGCCCATCCTTACCATATATAAGGTATCCTTGAACCCTGGTTAACAATGCCAGTGTCTGTGATAGGATGGGGGTGAGCATACAACTTGTGGTCTCATTAGAGGGATGCAGGCATAGTCCCATAATCTACTGGACAATAGGGAAACTCGCTATTCCCTGAAGATTTGTCCTAAAGAACAAATAGGTCTTTATATATGAAGATGCTAGTTGTTTATAATAGCAAAGACATCAAATCTATGCAGCACTGGGGAGGCTCAGGCAGAAGGATCACAAACTTGAGACCAGATTGAGCTACATAGTGAGACAATGTATCAAAAACCAAAAGAGAGATACTGTATGAAAGGAAATATACTTATTACCAGACATGTAAATATAATCCCCCCTCTGTACATCATCTCTATAATAACAATAAAGTAAATTTTTAAAAAAAAACAAGAGAAAAAGGAAGAGAGAGACAGAGAAAAAAGGAGCAGGAGCAAGAGATGGAGGAAGAGGAGAAAAAGGAAGAGGAAGAGAGGGAAGAATGAGGGAAGGGAGGGAGGGAGGAAGGAAGGAAGGAAGGAGAAAGGAAGGAAGGAAGGAAGGGAGGGAGGGAGGGAGGAAGGGAGGGAGGAAGGGAGAGAGGAGAGGGAGGGAAGGGAAAACTCTATATATCTGACAATAGTGAAGTAATTGAAAATGGATTATCCACATGGAATGAAAAAGAACAGAATGAAATGTTATATGCCCACTATTAATTGATGCTGATGATGTGTATGTGTAACATAATATTTGAAACATCAAAATGTCATTTATACTTTGATTCAATTGTGTTAGATAAGTATTCATTTACATAAAGAATAGAAAGAAACATGGGGAGAAAACAATTGGTATGTCAAGCCGATTGGATTTGTGGGTGATTCCTGTAACCATTTCTCTCATCACTGTTATAATGTTAAGTATAAAATAAATAAAACTTGGAAAGGAGAAGGAAATACTCAAACGAGATGCCTTCTGTTCTAGGCAGGATCATGAGGCTTGAGACCATTCTTGGTTCTTCCTTGCTCCTTCAAAGTAGCCTATATAATCTTGCTTGACCCCGATGAAGGGACTACTTGAGTCTGAGGAAAGACCTCTTGCTGGGAACTGAATACTCAAACATTTCAGCCCCTTTTTTGTAACAAATCTAATGCAACCCTGGATCGTTTGTTGTTTTCTCCATTATTAATATTGTGCATAAAACTCTTCCTGAAAACTCACCACCAGTGGTTCATGCCTGTAATCCTAGCTACTCAGGAAGCTGAGATCTGAGGATCATGACTCAAAGCCAGCTTGGACAGGAAAGTCCATGAGACTTCTATCTCCATTTAACCACCAGAAAACCAGAAGTGGAGCTGTGGCTCAAAGTGGTAGAGCACTAGCCTTAAGCAAAAAAGTTCAAGAATAGTGCCCAGGCCCTGAGTTCAAGCCCCATGATTGACAAAAAAAAAAATCTTCCGGACAGAAAATAATGCATCTTTTTTTCTCTCTTCCCCCAACCCTTTCTTCTCCCCTTTCTGCAGTTCTGCTAAGCCAATATTCTCTAGAATGAGCACAAAAAAAAATCAAATAACAGCTAAACAAATCGAATAACAGCTTTTGTACATCAACATCAAGAAGGAAGACGCTTGGGAGAGATCAGAGTCTAGAGACGAATACGGAAGAGTGAAATATCCACTCGGCAAAGCACCTTCTACATCTAGATCTGCAGAGATGGGAGTGATTTTTCTGGAAAGAGATTAAACACCAGCTCATTGGAAACTGTCATTGGATACGATCGGATAACATTCATGAAAAAGCATATTCAGGAAATATTTTAAGGAAGAGGGATATAAACATGCTAGAATTCATATGTAACATACATAAGTATGGAGGTTTGTTAAACTGCCCTTTTTGAATCAAACTGAAAACAAAAAGCTTTAATCTTTCAATAGGATAAAAAAGAAAAGAAAAGAAAAGGGCAGTTCGTTCTAGATTATTCCTATCTCAGTAGGCAAGAGGCCAATCAAGTGTCATGATTGAGGAAGCATCTTAGAAAATGCCTCTGACCTTTGGTTCTCCATCTCTATTGTTCATTTATTTCACTGTGTCATTAGTTACAACCACTCAGTTATTAAGAGATGTAACGCTTCGAACTTTTTAACCAAGTCTGTGTTCGGTTTAATCTGTCTGTACGAGTTATTACTGAGGAAGTGTTTCTGACATATACTATTACTCCATCAAGCTGTATATTACAGGAAGTACATCTTTACATCATAGGCTCCCACGAATTTAGATTTCCCTCTCTTTCAGGAAACAGCATCGAGGAACTCTGAAAAAATAGAAAGCTCATTTTCACCTTGGATGCTCTCATGTAATATATAGGCTGCTATCAAATAAACACTTTTTTCTAATTCTCCTTAGTATATGCATAGGAATTTAACACACTTTATAAATAGACAGCTAAAACACCTCATTTTTCCCCATTTCTTTGCCATACATGTCATCAGAAGTCCATACCCTTTATTTCCCTTACTGACAGGCATTCATTATTTTTAATTATTCCAATAAACCTATTTCTAAATGATAGTAAGTGGTACTAACAAAATAAACAGTAATTTAATAGCCTTAGAAATAAATGACTATATACTTATACAGGTCAAAGAAACTTGGTAGGATAAATAAGTTACCTTTTTGTTTACTAATGTTGGTTTGGAAAATTCTGATTTTTATTTGTTTGCCGGCATTTGGAAGTAGTTACAACTATCTAGTTGCCTTCAACAATCTTTGGTCCCGGGCATTCCCACATTTCATCCCACACTAAAGAGATACTCAGTGGAAGCCAGCCACATTCTATACCTAAGGAGGAAAAAAAAAAGAACAGGTCTTTATAAAATGCCTCTACTCACAAGCTGAGAAGTAAAATCAAATTAGCATATACCTTCAGAATATCTGAGGGAGAATAACACATGTGTTATTCAGAGTTGACAATTCATACCCTCTCTCTATTAAGATCACATTGATTTTTTAGCTAAAATTTTCTAGTACTAGCCATGTTTTCATCATAAGCAGAATAATGTTTCAGATGGCTAGAAGTATCTTACAGGAATAGTCAAATAAATAAAACCCAACCCACAGATATGGCTTTTCTAAAGAACTATATTAAGGGAATAAACTAAATTATTGGTCATCCTGGTGGTTATCTACTGCTTTAAGTTTTAGCTACCCTACTGCATTCAGACCATCCTACTCAATAAATTTAATTACACACAACTTTTCAAGAATTCATCTTTTTAACTAAAGGGAGGTGTCTATCTACAACAAAAGCAGAAGGTATTGGCTTTCTCCAACCCAGATAAATTACAGAGTCCATCAGGAATGCTACATCACTGATAGTGGTGATAACAAAAAAAAATTGTAAAGTACTTCCTATTTACATGCTAATGGTTTAAAAAGTTTTTGCCATAATACCTAAGTGTAATTTAGCATACCACAGTGCTATAAAGATGAGTCATTGACGATGTACCATTTGTACATAGATAATACACATGTAAATCACTAAATGTTAAGTATATGAAGTATGTTTTTATCTTTTTTTTAAAAGGTGACTCCCTTTCTCATTCTGTTCTGTTGTGTTGTCAAAAGTTGTGTGTAATTTTTTTTAAGGTCCAGGAAATGTAAAGAAATTTGTTGGAATACCTGAATTTCTGTAAAAAAAAATAAAAATAAAACAAGATTTTATTACTTAAAAGAATGCTTGGTGGTATCATACATATTCCATGTATTTGGGGTCTGTTTGTCCAGTGATGTGATGTGAGCTGATGGTTCACTTGAAGTAATTGTCTTCAGAAAATCTGAGTAGTAAATTCTACAAAGTTTGTCAATAGCAGACACTAATCAGCTAATGCCAAACATGCACGTGGAGAACTGATCTACATCTTTAGGGCCTCTTGTAGACAAATTTGAGTCAATCTTTTATATATTCACTGAAGTGAGACTGAAAACTAATAGAGTTTAGAGTGATGAAACACACCTATAATCGCAGCACTACAGCAGCTAAAGTAGGAGGATCTTAAATTCAAGGCCAACATGGGCTACAGAGAGAGCACTGCTGGCCCACACCTGTAATCCTAGCTACTCAGGAAGCTGAGATTAGAGATTTGAAGCCAACCCAGGCAGAAAAGTCTGACACACACACACACACACACACACACACACATACACACACACACACAAAGCAAAAAGGATCTGGCGGTATAGCTCAAGTGCTAGAGTGCCTGACTACCAAGTGTAAGGCCCTGAATGCAAACCCCAATACCATCAAACAAAAAAGAAATGACTTTCTAAAAACTCAAAAGAGAGGAAGAGAAGAAAATTTCAACAACAAAAATATCAACAGAAGGGGCTGGGAAGGTAGCTCAGTGGTAGAATGCTTACCTGGCTTGCATGAGGTCCTGGGTTCGATTACTCAGTACCACATAAACAGAAAAGCTGGTAGTGATGCTGTGGCTCAAGTGGTAGAGCACTAGCCTTGATGTGAAATGCTGAGGGACAGTGCCCAGGCCCCTAGTTCAAGCCCCATGGCTGAATAGAAAACCAACAGAAAAGGAAATAACAAATGACAAGCATGAAAACATACTCGACTTCATTATTAATAAAAAAGTATAAACTGAGGCAATTCGATTATCATAAACTAAAGACTTGACAATTATGAGCCCTGGTAAGGTTGTACAGCATTCAGATTTAGAATTAGTGAAGAGAGTAAAATTGTTACAATCACTTTGAAAAACAAAGAGGTTGGGAATTATTGTATAAAATCTAACATTCATATACAGTAAATTGCTTAGTTTTATTTCCAGTATACATGCTGTAGGAATTCTTACACATCAACACCAAAAACATTTATAAAAAATGCAAAGTCCAAGCCAGACATGGCAGCAAATGTCTGTAATCCCAGTTCTCAAGAGGTTGAGGGAGGAAGATTCCAAGTTAAAGGCCAGCCAGGCTACATTGAATTCAAGGTGAGCCTAGAGACCTATCTCAAAAGACAAGCACACACATACAAAAAGGAAAACCTTCATGTTTATCAATAAATCAATAATGAAGAGATAAAATATAGATTGTTCACAATTTATTTTTTAAATAATTAATGCTGGCCGCTGGTGGCTCATGCCTATAATCCTAGCTACTCAGAAGCTGAGATCTGAGAATTGCAGTTCTAAACCAGCCTGGATAGGAAAGTCCATGAGACTTACCTCCAATTAACCACCTGAAAAGTGGAAGTGAAGCCGTGGATCAATGTGGTGAACCACTAGCCTTGAGCAAAAGAGCTCAGGGACAGTGTCCAGGCTCCAAGTTCAAAAGAATAAATAACATTTAAAACATTAAATTAATAGTACCATCAAGCATGGAAAGGACTAAACTGCAATTACAAGCATCACCAAGGGTGATTACACTAGAAATACAGTGGTGAGTCCGGGGCGGGACAGGAGAAGGAAGTTAGAAAGAGTAGACTAAGTTTCTATTTTTATAAATGTCAAAAACAAGCAGGGCTAAACTGTATATTGTTTAGTGTGAAGAAAAAAAGCACAGAAATGATAAAACACAATTCAGTATCATAGTTAATTCTGGAGAGTTTAGAATTCATTGAAGATAAGTAGAGAGGGATGGCAATCGGAAAAAGACCTGCAAACTACTTCAATTCTCCCAGAGATTGGGGGATGGGTCACAGGATTCACAGGTTCATTTATGCATACCTCCTCATTTATGTGTGTATGTGTGCATAGAAGATAGATAGGTAGATAGATAGATGATAAATAATATGTAGATAACTGTGTATACTCTATTTTAATCAAATAAAATAAGAGAATAAATTGAACTGAATATTATAAAAAAGAAAGAAATTGAACAAATTGAATATTAGTGACAATGACGAGGAAAAGGGTTGGTAGGGGTGAAGAGAAGCAACAGGGAGATGGGAGCCTACTGCAGAAAGGAGTGGTCTACACTAGAACAGAGATGATACAGGTAGATACATCTGGAATTATGTTGCAGATTAGATTTCATAGGAAGCTGACACTGAAAAAAGATTAGGGCTGCTGTTATGATTTGGGTCTTAAATATCCCCCAATAGCCACTGCTGCAAGGCTTGGTGGACAGCCTGTAGCAATATTGGGAGCAAGTAGACCCTTTAAGAGTTGGGACATGATGGAAGTTATATCACTGAGTGACATGCCTGTGAAGGCATACTGGGGTCCTAGCACCTTCTCGCCCACGCTCTCCCTGTCCCTCTTTCCTAGAGGAAGGCCACCGGGAAGTGAGCAGATTGCTCTAGCATAGGCTTCCTGCCATCATTGTTTTGTGTTGTCATAGGACCAAAGCCACAGAATGGAAACCTCTGAAATTATAAATCTCAATAAATCTTTCCTCCTTTCAGTTGATATTATCTCCGGTATTTGTCCCAGCCACAGAAAGCTGATGCAGGATGCACGATGTGAATTTTGCAGGACAAACAGGCTCAACATCTATGGGAGGGAAAGGACAGAAGGAGGGCAGGCAGAAGGAAAAAGGCTGTGAGACAGTCTCAGGGAAGGCCCAGGCTGACCCCTCAGGTCTCACTGAAGCGGGGTGCCCTTTCACAGAGGTGCTGTGTCAGGTGAGGGGGTCAGGCCTGTACAGTCCAACATCAATCAATTGCTGTGTTTCCTCTGCTTGCCCCCCAGGAGTGGGGTATGACTCTTGGGTGGGGTGGTCATTTTCAGCTGAGGGTAATTCCCAGAGAGGGCAGAGAGCCATGAGACACAGGCTACCGATCACTATTGCCCTGAAGAACGCTGTGGATGAAACACCATAGCATCTGCTACACATAGATGTGGTTTCGGAATATGAACTTGATCCATTAAATGTGGAAAGGAGAAGAAACTTTGTAGAAAGATGGTTTTGCCTGTACCTGAGAAGTAAAGAGGAGAGGGCCCGAGGGGTGAGGGAGGGAATTGACAGGTGAAAACTCATGCCCCTTTGTGATATTTAAGTTGAAATTCAATTCATAACCAGGCTTGGTAGAGAATACCACTCAGGAGGCTGAGACTAGGGGAAGATCCTAAGATCCTAAGTTTGAGGCTAGTCTGGAGTACACAGGGAAACATTATCAGAAAGGACAAAGAAGAGAGGGAAGGAAAAGAGGAAAAAGAGAAAAGAGACACAGAAAAAAATTCATCATTGGGCATTAGGTATAGAGGTACAGAGTTCTTGGCTGGGGGTATAATTCAGTGGTTGAGTGCCTATCATACATGAAGAGATAGAGATTGGATCTCTAGCAGACTGCAGATGGGGAGAGAATGTCTAGTTAACCAAGAAAAAGCTGAGTTGGAAGCATGACACAAGTGGCAGAACCCGCCAAGGACAAAAAGCAGAAAGAGCTTGAGGCCCCTGAGTTTAAGCCCCAATACCAGGGGGAAAAAACCCAATACTGAGCGAGAAAGGGGCAACTAGAGTGGAGGATAAGGGAGTCAGATGGGATAATGTGATTTAAAAAAAAAAAAAAAACAATGATAGGGGCTGGGAAGGTGGCTCAGTGGTAGAGCGCTTGCCTTGCATGCCTGAGGCTCTGGGTTTGATTCCCCAGCACCACATAAGCAAAAAGAAAAAAGCC